GTTGGAATTGTAGGATTTATCAATTTTATTTGTTGTTTGCAATTAAATGATGACACCACATTATATTAATGACGTGTTGTTACCGTTATACCCAATATTTTCCGTGAGAGCCATGTACACATGAAATATGAATTAAGTAATCAAGTTGTTAGAAAATAGTCAATAATAAGGCTAGTTATTTTTTCGAAAACGCATCAAGCGATTCTTAATACTATTACCAAAGAACCACATAGAGAAGAGAGCATGGGGATCATAAGATTAACATTGAAAACTTTTGACTTACACACGTGTTGGTGTGGTACAGTCCGATGAACATTCATCAGAATTTTTTCATTTGACACGAAGGCCAGCAAGCCCCCGGCAACCCCCCACAGACATACCCACTTGCAGAAGCAAAGGATCAATTGCCCAGGTAAACTTAAATTCGTTTTACAGAGATGGCATGGAATGGACCCATGTGATGCTATGGACAACTTCACGTGCCTGCCTGGGTGGTGTCCACTGTCCAATGGGAATTCCAGCAAGAGAAATTGCAGGCCAAGCCATAGATTTCAGGGTTTTTGATTTTGTTTGACATACTTGTATCAAAGTTGGACACGAAGATGAAAATAGCAGGTGGGTTTGAGATTATATATATACATATATTTTTTGAAGGAAACCAAGTTGTACGAAAGTGTCTTCGGCATATTGTAAGATTATGATGAGCTCATAACATGCTGCATGATGTATGGTTGATGAGACCTGCATGGCTTTTAGTCGTAAATTAGAGAACACACGTTTAATCGAACAATCATGTTGTTTGGACTAAACTTGTGACTCAAACGATGTATAGAAGCTCTTCAACCAAACATATAAAAGAAGCCCAACATGTACATATTAATGTGAATTTCTGACAATGTGTTTGGATGATAAAACCAATCCTCGAGTAATCCATGTGATGTTCAGCTGCATGGACGGTTGTGGAACTCAACTCATTATTGCTTAAATTGTGTTCCTCTAGAAAACACCTGTAGGAGCCTAAGAGATCTAGTGGGCAATTTGTTTTTTTAGTTCAATGATTAGGGGTGGATATTCGGATCAGTTTATGTATATTTTAATTAATTCTCTCTCTAGTATGATCAAAAGTTGACCATCAACGTCGAGAATAGAATATTTACGAGAAATAAAACCCTAATAACTTGATCTCAAAAGAATTATTAAAATTTGAACTCAAAATATTTTGATTTACATCATTGAGGTTGAGTGGGCAATTTGGAACATTGTCCAAGCAGTAAGATCTGGAGGAGGGTCTGTTTAAGAAATAACAAGGGGCTACCCCATCCATATCAAGTCGAGTTGATTTGGTAGTGGGGGTGGTGAGGTTCAAGAAGAACGGTTGGTTCGGTTAGTGAGGGACATCCCCACGGGAACATGGCCTGCCTTTTCCTACTTAACCCTTCTTCTCCATGCTCTTGACACTGTCATTCATCAGATTTCTGTCTCTTATTGTTTTGTCTTCTCTCGCATATAAATATACACATATATATATATACATTCACACACATACATACATGCCCATGGCACCGCATAGTTGATGACTTTTTGAACTGTTTTAACAAGGTGAATATGAGAGATGGTCTTTGTACAGTTATAAGGTTGTTCTAGTATTTTTTTTGGTTCAATGGTTAAGTCTGTTTGAACCAATTTACGTACACTTTGACTAATCTTCTCTTTAGTCTGGTCAAAAATAAGTCATCCACGTTAAAATTACAATATTCATAAGGAATAAATCTCTCATAACTTGACCCAAGAGATTGTTAAATTTTGAATTCATAATATCTAAATTTATGNATGGTCTTTGTACAGTTATAAGGTTGTTCTAGTATTTTTTTTGGTTCAATGGTTAATTCTGTTTGAACCAATTTATGTACAATTTGACTAATCTTCTCTTTAGTCTGGTCAAAAATAAGTCATCCACGTTAAAATTAGAATATTCATAAGGAATAAATCTCTCATAACTTGACCCAAGAGATTGTTAAATTTTGAACTCAGAATATCTAAATTCACGGTTCGTTTCTTATTACCACTTGAACTCTCCCAAGTTGCTTTATTATGATTTGGGTGCGACTGAATTGAATTCCAAAAAATACCTTCTTGTTTTTTTTGCATATAAGGTGAAGGCTGTATATACCTACTCTCCNTGTTAAATTTTGAATTCATAATATCTAAATTTATGGTTCGTTTCTTATTACCACTTGAACTCTCCCAAGTTGCTTTATTATGATTTGGGTGCGACTGAATTGAATTCCAAAAAATAACTTCTTGTTTTTTTGGCATATAAGGTGAAGGCTGTATATACCTACTCTCCTCAAATTCTACATGGCAGGAGACTGGTAAAAGCTTTAAAAGTTGAGAATAGAAAATGAAAATAGACTCGTGCACTAAACAATCAGATCTCAACTTGCTGCCATATCCTGCCTATTTTATGCTGGGTGGCAGGAACAAGGACAAGGGGCTATATGGGCTTATAAATTTTCTATTGTAATGCTGGAAAGTGTGGAATTGTTGAGAATACAGCAGAAAGAGTTAGGTTCTTCACATTGGTTTTCTAGAATTTAATTGGAATGAAGTTAGAATAGTAGAGGAGGGCACTTTAATAACTTTATCGCTTGTGATTTATGGCTGATTCTGAGTCAGATAGGGTCCATGAGATGGACCAAGCCATGACCTCATCATGTCACAAACAATTGCCAAATTAAGCTATATAGGGTCATATCTAAAACATTCTGCCAAATGCTGATCTTCCTTCATATCCAAAACAGGTTCTCCTCCAATATATTAGCAGGAATCAAATCAGAGGATAGGGTATAATTTGATGCTCTTAGCCCCCAAAAAAATTAGATTCAGATTCGCTCTATAATTTCTTCAAATACAGTACTTGGATAACTTGTATAATTTTGAATTTCAATGAACAAGATTGATTTTGTTAACAATAACCACTAACTNACACCTGTAGGAGCCTAAGAGATCTAGTGGGCAATTTGTTTTTTTAGTTCAATGATTAGGGGTGGATATTCGGATCAGTTTATGTATATTTTAATTAATTCTCTCTCTAGTATGATCAAAAGTTGACCATCAACGCCGAGAATAGAATATTTACGAGAAATAAAATCCTAATAACTTGATCTCAAAAGAGTTATTAAAATTTGAACTCAAAATATTTTGATTTACATCATTGAGGTTGAGTGGGCAATTTGGAACATTGTCCAAGCAGTAAGATCTGGAGGAGGGTCTGTTTAAGAAATAACAAGGGGCTACCCCATCCATATCAAGTCGAGTTGATTTGGTAGTGGGGGTGGTGAGGTTCAAGAAGAACGGTTGGTTCGGTTAGTGAGGGACATCCCCACGGGAACATGGCCTGCCTTTTCCTACTTAACCCTTCTTCTCCATGCTCTTGACACTGTCATTCATCAGATTTCTGTCTCTTATTGTTTTGTCTTCTCTCGCATATAAATATACACATATATATATATACATTCACACACATACATACATGCCCATGGCACCGCATAGTTGATGACTTTTTGAACTGTTTTAACAAGGTGAATATGAGAGATGGTCTTTGTACAGTTATAAGGTTGTTCTAGTATTTTTTTTGGTTCAATGGTTAAGTCTGTTTGAACCAATTTACGTACACTTTGACTAATCTTCTCTTTAGTCTGGTCAAAAATAAGTCATCCACGTTAAAATTACAATATTCATAAGGAATAAATCTCTCATAACTTGACCCAAGAGATTGTTAAATTTTGAATTCATAATATCTAAATTTATGGTTCGTTTCTTATTACCACTTGAACTCTCCCAAGTTGCTTTATTATGATTTGGGTGCGACTGAATTGAATTCCAAAAAATAACTTCTTGTTTTTTTGGCATATAAGGTGAAGGCTGTATATACCTACTCTTCTCAAATTCTACATGGCAGGAGACTGGTAAAAGCTTTAAAAGTTGAGAATAGAAAATGAAAATAGACTCGTGCACTAAACAATCAGATCTCAACTTGCTGCCATATCCTGCCTATTTTATGCTGGGTGGCAGGAACAAGGACAAGGGGCTATATATTATCTGTNTTAAAAGTTGAGAATAGAAAATGAAAATAGACTCGTGCACTAAACAATCAGATCTCAACTTGCTGCCATATCCTGCCTATTTTATGCTGGGTGGCAGGAACAAGGACAAGGGGCTATATGGGCTTATAAATTTTCTATTGTAATGCTGGAAAGTGTGGAATTGTTGAGAATACAGCAGAAAGAGTTAGGTTCTTCACATTGGTTTTCTAGAATTTAATTGGAATGAAGTTAGAATAGTAGAGGAGGGCACTTTAATAACTTTATCGCTTGTGATTTATGGATGATTCTGAGTCAGATAGGGTCCATGAGATGGACCAAGCCATGACCTCATCATGTCACAAACAATTGCCAAATTAAGCTATATAGGGTCAAATCTAAAACATTCTGCCAAATGCTGATCTTCCTTCATATCCAAAACAGGTTCTCCTCCAATATATTAGCAGGAATCAAATCAGAGGATAGGGTATAATTTGATGCTCTTAGCCCCCAAAAAAATTAGATTCAGATTCCCTCTATAATTTCTTCAAATACAGTACTTGGATAACTTGTATAATTTTGAATTTCAATGAACAAGATTGATTCTGTTAACAATAACCACTAATTNCGCTCTATAATTTCTTCAAATACAGTACTTGGATAACTTGTATAATTTTGAATTTCAATGAACAAGATTGATTTTGTTAACAATAACCACTAATTGAGATAGATTTTGTTAAGATTAATTGTTAATTTGTCTCGTTTAACAATTAATCTTAACGATAAGGGGGGCAAACTAGGACAAGTGAAAGTTCAAGGGGTTATTTAAAACAAAGTATGAGGAGGGCAGGTATGTTCCACCAGTAAAAGTCCTTAACTTTTCAATGAAAATAAATGGATAATAACTAGTATGTTAGCATGGAGGAGAAGGATAATAAGGTACTAATTATCTGCCTATGTTTCTAAGTATTGCATACTGTGTTGCTAAAGGAAGAGTGGATTATAGTAATACTGGGGAAGGAACAAAGTAGTTGGGATAAAAAGGTGTAAAAAGTGCGGCAAAAGGGCCGCATATGGGAACTTGAACCAGTAACCAGCTTGGCAGTTGAATATATATGACTACCTCTCACCTCTATTTAACAGTTTCCATCCATGCCTGTCATTCTCTAAACCCACCCCACCCCAATCACATCCTACCTCATAGCACTTTCGAAAGAGCTCTTAGTTGATCTCTCACAGTCTCTCCAAATGAAGGTGAGACGGAGAATTCATATTGGCACATCCCACCCATCATTCTAAGTACATTTTTGTTAACAAAATAACATATTACATGTTTGATTTCAGATCTTTGGTTGGATGCAAAGCAAGCTCAATGGGAAGCAAGCAACCAGAAGACCGAATTCAGTATCAGCTAATCGTAAGTGTTCATTGATTCTCCTACTTGTTTGATCAATTGTATGTTTGAATGTTTGCTTGTTTAAGCTTCTGTTGCTTGTTAATGACGAGAAACAATTAAAGTGCAAGAGAGCTATGCATATCTACATACAATCCTTAATTTGTAATGAAGATATTCTATTATTAATTGTATGCAAATAGTTTCTGAATATCCTGTTTCTACTAAGATGTATTCAAGTTCTAGAAAGGAATTGCAAACGCTGATACAGCGATGGTGTCAATCATAACGGATCATAATTCATATGGATTTTGCTTCCTTGATTCCATTAGAGTGTAGAATTAATCATTTCTGTGTGAACCAATGCTCTGATCATTTGTTGCAGTCAAAAGTCCTAAGGATTCTAAAATGGTAAACTTCTGGGATTAAGAGATCACGTGCTCTTTAGCGCGTATTTCTTCCAATCTCTTCCGACAAAGTGTATGCCATATGAACTTCTGAATTTATACATAATCTACATGGGTCATTGCTTGTTATTGTACCTACTTCATCTGCATATAGCTAGTGCCTGGTTTGGCATTATTTATTATAGTTTCGTTTTCATCTGATTATAGAAAATAGGCTGCAAAAGCCTTGCAAAGAAGAATTCAGTGACTGGCCTCATGGATTGCTTGCAATTGGGACATTCGGAAGTGTGAAAAAAGAAGATCCAGAGAGGTGCAATCTTCAGGGGAGCCAAAATTCTTGTCAAGATCATCAACAAGACATTGTCTCTGAAGAAATCAGAGAACTTCAGAAGGAGTTGGAACTAATACTGCATAACCAAGTCCCAGTTGAATCTGGCTTGGAAGAGGATTTAGAAACTCATGATCTTCCATTGGAGAAATTCTTCAATTGCCTATGCTTGGAGGAGGTTGAAAGAACTACTGGTGAGACAGTTTGTGATGAGTTAGCAGAAAAAGAGAGTCCTCTCCAGCATAGCACCAATGTAGTTCTCAGTAAAGGAAAAGATATTCAGTTGGACAACAAAAGCAATGACATTAGCAAAAAATCACTATCTTTTCTACTCAAGAAGATGTTTCTATGCAGAAGAGGGTTTGTGCTCACACCAACTCCCAGTTTAAGAGATTCACTTCCAGAATCAAGAATCGACAAGTACTCAAGGATGGAGAAGGTATGAACATAAATCTACAAGAGTGCACGATACATCCATACAGGCAAATGTTCATTGCATCTGTCATGTAGAAGGGGACTTTCCTTCTTCAANGAATCGACAAGTACTCAAGGATGGAGAAGGTATGAACATAAATCTACAAGAGTGCATGATACATCCATACAGGCAAATGTTCATTGCATCTGTCATGTAGAAGGGGACTTTCCTTCTTCTATGTTTTCCTGTTTATTAGTTTCATTTATTCTTTTTTTCTGGGCTGTAGGAGGATTATCAGATTTTCTTATCCAAGATAACCTTGATCTTGAATCCTAAAGTTGTTCTTTTCTATCTGTTGTTAATTTATGTTTCCAGATTTTAAGAGCAATGCTGCATAAAAAGATATATCCCCAAAGTTCTAGTCCAAAGGTGACGGGAAAGAAATACTTGGAGAACAGACATATGTCCAAGACAGACAGTGAGGATGAAATGCATCAAGATGGAAGTAAATGGGTCAAGACAGATTCTGAATGTAAGTCCCTAATATGCTGATACTTCACCATGTCCATATATGACACACACACATATATATGTATATGTATGTGATACAGGACTTCTAAGCTGATTGGGTGTATTCTTTAAGTTGCAGTTATTGTTCTGGAGATATAGTCAGTCTTTTCCTTAGACAGAGGTGCAAATACTACATGGTAATTACTTCAATCTCATTGTCGTTTTTTTCTTTTAACCCTCTTGTGCCCCTTTTTTTGTTCATTTGAAGGCATGAGTTCTACCTACTTGATTACCTGACCTTATGCTTATTGTTTTCAGATATTTTACATTGGGTTGTAATGTTCTCGATCAGCAAAGTAAGTGACCACTCAGTACTTCTTCCGAATGTGATGGTCCATAACAGAGACTGTATCCGAATCTGTTTATGGTCTACGCCCGTGTACATTTCACTGTGGGTCATGGTTGGACTCTTGAAACAACACAATGAAATTCCATTATGCAAGTGATTGATCCTTGGAAGAAAACTGAGAAAATCTCAGTCGTATTGAACTTTTAAGTTTGGGGCTTAGGTAGAGAGCAGAGATAGCCTTTCTTCAGCAGGAGGGAAAATAAATAAAACCTGAGGGAAGGAGTGGGAGAATGATGTTTATGATAGAAATGCATTTGATTGTATGATGTTATCTTGTAATAATCACATAATGTGCAATACATGACATTGTGGTTATGCTAAGACAATTACATGTTTTTAACTCATCATTGGAATGGGGTATACCACAACATAACATTTTGATACAGTAGATAAGTCCAAAATAGTGAAAATATTTTTGATATATACTCGATAAAACATGAATACGATACGATAAGAATATAACGGTNGTTTTTAACTCATCATTGGAATGGGGTATACCACAACATAACATTTTGATACAGTAAATAAGTCCGAAATAGTAAAAATATTTTTGATATATACTCAATAAAACATGAATACGATACGATACGAATATAACGATACAATAAATTCTACAAAATAGAATATGAATACGACTAAAATATATCTATTAAAAAAATATATTTCATTATTTTACTATTATTTGCAGATTTAAAAATTATATATTTTAATAATTTTTTAACATAATAAGAAAAAATTAGTATTTTTTTTTTTTTTAGTTTCAAAAAAGTATATACCATATCATTATGAAATATTCAATAAGANTTTTAATAATTTTTTAACATAATAAGAAAAAATTAGTATTTTTTTTTTTTTAGTTTCAAAAAATTATATACCATATCATTATGAAATATTCAATAAGAAATCAAAACTAATATTTAATTAATTGATTTGTTTAGAAGTATTTGTTACTAAAATTATAATACAATAAATTTATTTTATGCTATTTTGGTATGAAATAATAGATAATATTTTACAGAAAATACTAATGTGTCTTCTTTCAAACTAGTATGAATTGTTGTTAATCTATCGTATAGTATGTGAATTTGAAAAGTGNTTTATTTTATGCTATTTTGGTATGAAATAATAGATAATATTTTACAGAAAATACTACTGTGTCTTCTTTCAAACTAGTATGAATTGTTGTTAATCTATCGTATAGTATGTGAATTTGAAAAGAGATATTAAAGATTAAATTAAAAATTATACATGTCGCTCGAATACAAAAATATCTATGAAATATCAAAATATTTTATTTTTATCGAATAAGTATATGGTGTATTTAATACATATCCGACGAATATCGTATCTAATACACATACGCCAACCCCAACGAATACTTCGTGTGATACATACAAATTCCTTCCATTCCGCTGCCAAATTGAGAGAAAATCAAAATATTACCCAAACAAAAATGACAAATCCTCCTGTCTCAATATTTGTTCAAAGGCAACCAACAATAAAGAGAGAGAAAATAACCACCACCACCACCACCTCCACATCCAGATGTCATGAATGGCATACACTAATGCCTAAGGGAGCTAACCACTCTGGTACAACACTAGAATGGAAACAACAACCACAACGGAGGGTGTCAACCATTAACTCTTGTACCGGGCAACGGGGACAGAAATTGAAGGATGACAGTTCTTCAAGAATTTTTTCGGCAACACCCACCTACTTTCCAAGGAAGCTCTCACCCCTTGGATATAGATAAATGGATTCGTCGGGTGAAGAAAATGTGTGATGGCATAGGAGTAGCCGAGGATTTNCCCCCCCCCCCCCCCCCAAAAAAAAAAAAAAAAAGGACATGCTTGATGCAGAAATCCTCCAGACGATAATTCCATTAATGTTTTAACCTTGAAAAGCTCTCTTCATGAAACCTTGCAGGGAACCTCCCATGCCTGCACCAACCGCTTCTGCCAAATACTTTGCCTGCAAAATTTCACCACCCCAAAGTGTTGGTCACCATTACGAAAACCTGTATTCCAACATGATACAAGAAAACACATACTTGAATCATTAAGCATTATAACCAATACAGACTTACCTCTTGGATGGTATTTTTTAGATCAAAAGCATCTTTAACTCGAGCATCCAAGAACGCCCACGTATCACGAAAATCTGCAGAAGAAAATGCGACAATGACAAATCATCCTTCACCTTCACATGAATATAAAATGGGCCCATATCTTCTCAGTCTAACAAAAATTGGCCACGGCTTCAACATATTATTCTACGGTGAAGCATATCCAGAGAGGAGAGTAAGAAGAGAAGAAACAACAAACAGCGAGCAGAGGATCAACTGAAGAAAATTCTTCCAACCTGGGGAACTATCAGTCAGCATGTACACCTCAGTTGTGGAGTATATGCCGCCAAGGACAGTGCGCTTCACATACCAATCAACATCAGTGGACTCAACACCAGCGGCATGCCAGATTTCATCAACCAGCATGGCCCGCTGCTTAAAGCTTGTTGGGACATTGAACGGATGTGCCTATGCCAAAGAAATTATGAAAGCGACCAAGGGTTCAGCTAATTTTATTTAAGCAAGCAATTAGCAATCTAATGAAAGGAAAAACAATACAGAACATAGTACCTGGATGCTAAGAGCTTGAGGCCACTTTGATATGTAGGGAGCCTGCATTTCCAAGCGAGTTCTGACAAGTTTTGCAATGCACTCACTAGGTATCAAGTTTCTTAAATCCTCTTCGGAGTCAATTATATCAGTAAGCCTTTGTAAACACTCATCCATGAAAAACTGTGGATGATAAATTAAAAGAACTCAAATGATACAACGGAGACATGAAACTTGAATACAGATGAGCAAGGATAAAAAAAAAATCGATAAATCAGTAAGCGAAGGAAGAGAAAAGGAGTATGCACTATACACCAAACCAACTGTATCACATGTTATGCCTCAATAAACTCTTTATAATACAATGTTCAACAGGAACACCATAATCATTGCACTAGAAACCCTATGGATTCTACATACAAATCCAGTTTATCAGCAAGAAGAAAGTCCATAAGGAGCCTGATGAAGTGTTCACATTATTTAACCACTGCATGTGTAAAACTGCCCAAACTCCAACACAAACCTTGGTAATTATATTTAGTCGAGTCCAGACAAAATGCTTCCCACTTTTCTAAATCTGACAACCACTCACTTCTCTTGGGATCCCCATGGCAAATTTTTATAACTTCTTCTAGCACCCATCCACCCCCTAGATTATTGTTATTTGCTTCTAAAACAATGACCTAGAAATCTTAAAAAAATACCTAAGTAGCAGCAAAATTTCAAATGAAAATTAAGAAGAAACAAATCAAGGAAAAATCATTAGTTACCCAATCATGACGAGTGATCATGTAAGATCGCTGTGTTAGAAATCGAAACAGACTGAAAATATTCAACTTTTTTGGGGAAAGGAGCAAATAACACACTCAAAAGTCAGGTTTCCATATAATAAGCCCATTACTGTCTAAAAGCATAAACAAATGCAATCTAAATGAAGTGGCAAACTAATATAAAAAGGCAGTTCTACCTCTACTAGAGCAGCTTCTTTTCGATGAAAAGATCCCACGATAGAGGGGGATACACCAACCTCCCTCGCACCTGCAATCATGGCTGCTTCAGTCCAACCCAACCTAGTCTACAGATCATCACAAATTAGCCAACCAAATAGCACATCAAATGAACACATTCTGAAGTTGATGTACATGACATTTAACGTCCAAGGAATCAAATTAGACCACCATGTTTTTTGATAGGTTGTTCGATTTTGATCCATTTTTCAAACATGCAGGCAATGAAATTGGTCTTACATAGAAGGATTTCATAGTTTCACTGAAATTATCTAAATCACACCACTATGGCAGGATTATTCCAAATCAGAACATCTTGTGCTAGCAAAACATGAAGCAAACACAATGTACTGATTCAACTAACTTGGGCTCATTTATCCTCAGCAGTCTACTAATTGTACAGTGAGCTTGATATTATTTTGGAAAAGAGACTAAATTCAGCAAAAATTACCTTCACGGAAAGCATAATTTGCAAAATGCTGGATAAATCACAGTACACAATCATAAATAGTGAGTAATACATGAACTAGTGGCTGGTGATCTACCCTAGAAAGAAAAGTGATGGGAGGTGAATCGGCACGCCTATCAGTCAACAACATGTGGACGAGAATGGGTACCACCGAGAGTACCCAACCCCTTGGTGGACCAAATCGAGGCAGACCATCAGACTGAACCCCCTCAAACTTTCTTGAGACTATTTGCAAAACCCTGGGGGACGTCTTACCCCAAGCCCGACCAGTAATGGTGCTCCAACAAAAGGGCCCAATAACACAACCAGTAGCAAGAGATGATTAGGTGCGCGGTTACATCTACATGGGGACCTCACCAAATCCCGTGAATGCCAAGTAAAGGCATGTCCCTTGCTTACATGGACTAGTCCGGAGGTGTCCCGGGGTGCATCAGTTAATGCTCGGTGTTCACAGGCAAAAGTAATTTTTTTTTTTTTAGAACAGGCAAAAGTCGTTGAATGTCCGGACAGTACTCACTAAATGCTTGGTCTCCCGACTGAGGTAATCATTGTGGCATGTGACCCCGAGTGGCCGCCTTCCCTAAGGCTAAGCCTAGTAAATGTGCGGCTCGAGGGTAGGGGTAACTACTGACATGTCATCCTTACATGTTTTAGGCCGGCTAGCTTGATGTCATCCTCTGGATTTCACGTCCTCATCCCTCAAGATACAGACAGACCAAAAAATTGGGTCCAAGGTACACACACAACACTCAACTTGTTGTGTATTACTCATATTTGCTCATTTGAATGCCAACTGACTCGAGCATAGGAAGGGATGAGCCGGATACACATCCGGCCCCTTCAAGTTCAGTCAAGTGGCACTATCTCAACAATTGAACAAAAATCACNTTCCCTAAGGCTAAGCCTAGTAAATGTGCGGCTCGAGGGTAGGGGTAACTACTGACATGTCATCCTTACATGTTTTAGGCCGGCTAGCTTGATGTCATCCTCTGGATTTCACGTCCTCATCCCTCAAGATACAGACAGACCAAAAAATTGGGTCCAAGGTACACACACAACACTCAACTTGTTGTGTATTACTCATATTTGCTCATTTGAATGCCAACTGACTCGAGCATAGGAAGGGATGAGCCGGATACACATCCGTCCCCTTCAAGTTCAGTCAGGTGTCACTATCTCAACAATTGAACAAAAATCGCCGATGCAAAAAGTATGAATAAAAAGTATTGGCAGGAATTTGGATTCCCACTAGGATATTTTTTCCAGTGACTGTGTTCCTAAAACGCAAGCAATTTCTCTTTTTCTTTTTTTGATTCAAAAGCCGGGGATAGCAGTTCAGCCAGAACTCAGAAATTCGCAATCATAAACTCGCAATAAATCTTGAATTAGAGTAATAGAAACAGAGCTAAGTCAATACAGACCACATGGCGAAGAGAGGCGTGGAGTACACGAGCTTGTTCGTCTTGGTATTGAGCTTTATGCCGTGTTCCCTTCGAGGACTGGCTCTCGTGGCCACGAGCCCTTTCTTCTTCTCCCCATGCCGATGATGATGATGATGATGATGATGGCGGTGTAGAACCAAACTGATTAGGGCTTTGGCTAGGGAACGTCTCAGATGTAGCCGAAGTTGAAAATCGAGGTCGGTTCACAACAAGGGTTCGAAAATGAGGGATTTGGGAAGGCCCGTAACGGCACAAGGACGGAATGCTAAGCAATCGCTTCACCGCCATTCGATACATGGCTGACGACACTCCTCAAATTTTCACACACAAACGCAGAGATTCGTTTAGTTTTCTTGAGAGATCGAATCAAGTCAAGCATTGATTTCTAATTCCACGTATCTGTATGTTGGTTGGTGCGGCCACTTGTCAGGTAATAGCGCCACGAATAATTGTTTTGCCAACCGCGGGGGGCAAAACCTGCGATTCTAAGATCCAAAGGAAGCGTGGTAAATAGAGTTGAATTGAACCGAATTCCATTCACTTGTATTTAAATTTTTAAACTCAGGCTATATTATCTATGTAAAAATCCAAGTTTAATTTTTTCTTCAACCTAGTTCGAATTTGATTCAATTCTATTTGCTTTAAGTATTACATTTTTGGAGTTGGGATTGACTTGCTTATTCTATTCTTATGTTTAGTGAGTGACTATCAATAATCTAATAAAAAAATTAGTGTATATTTCACGTTTACTTTTATGAATAAACGTAATTTTGGGAAGATGTCTTGATTTAACAATGAAGTTTATTTTAAGAAGAAACATGTTTAAGAACTAGTTATTTTTCGTGCCTGAAGGTACGGAGTAATAACAAAATTGGTCAACAATAAATATATTTGTATTCACACTCAAAATTAAATCACAAACATATAGGAGAGAAAAAAGAATTTAAACACCTATTATAATGAGGATGAGCGGTAATAATAATGATGGGAGACGATAATGATTGTGGTAGCTGGCGACGATCGTGGTGATGGTGGATTTTGGGAGATAATGGTGGTAGTGACAGTCGTAAGTGACGACGATGGTGATAAGTGTGGGTGGTGGTGTACAACAATAATGGTAGTTGACAGTGACGGTAGTGAGGCNTGAACCAAACTGATTAGGGCTTTGGCTAGGGAACGTCTCAGATGTAGCCGAAGTTGAAAATCGAGGTCGGTTCACAACAAGGGTTCGAAAATGAGGGATTTGGGAAGGCCCGTAACGGCACAAGGACGGAATGCTAAGCAGTCGCTTCACCGCCATTCGATACATGGCTGACGACACTCCTCAAATTTTCACACACAAACGCAGAGATTCGTTTAGTTTTCTTGAGAGATCGAATCAAGCATTGATTTCTAATTCCACGTATCTGTATGTTGGTTGGTGCGGCCACTTGTCAGGTAATAGCGCCACGAATAATTGTTTTGCCAACCGCGGGGGGCAAAACCTGCGATTCTAAGATCCAAAGGAAGCGTGGTAAATAGAGTTGAATTGAACCGAATTCCATTCACTTGTATTTAAATTTTTAAACTCAGGCTATATTATCTATGTAAAAATCCAAGTTTAATTTTTTCTTCAACCTAGTTCGAATTTGATTCAATTCTATTTGCTTTAAGTATTACATTTTTGGAGTTGGGATTGACTTGCTTATTCTATTCTTATGTTTAGTGAGTGACTATCAATAATCTAATAAAAAAATTAGTGTATATTTCACGTTTACTTTTATGAATAAACGTAATTTTGGGAAGATGTCTTGATTTAACAATGAAGTTTATTTTAAGAAGAAATATGTTTAAGAACTAGTTATTTTTCGTGCCTGAAGGTACGGAGTAATAACAAAATTGGTCAACAATAAATATATTTGTATTCACACTCAAAATTAAATCACAAACATATAGGAGAGAAAAAAGAATTTAAACACCTATTATAATGAGGATGAGCGGTAATAATAATGATGGGAGACGATAATGATTGTGGTAGCTGGCGACGATCGTGGTGATGGTGGATTTTGGGAGATAATGGTGGTAGTGACAGTCGTAAGTGACGACGATGGTGATAAGTGTGGGTGGTGGTGTACAACAATAATGGTAGTTGACAGTGATGGTAGTGAGACGATAACAGTGATAGCGGACAGTATAATGGTGGTGGTGAGCGACAATACAATGAGTGCTTCTAGGCGACAATGAGATGAGTGGTGACAAATGGTGGCAGTAGTGGTGATGGTAGTAAGTGTGGTGGGAGTGGGTGGTTGTAATGGTGGGTGATGACGGGGGGTGGTGATAAGTGTGATGGGGGTGGGTGACAATAGCTGGTGGTGATAAGTGCTGACAGTGGGTGACGATGGTAATGGGATGATGATAGTAATGATAATAAATATAAGAATAAGATGACGATAGTGGTCGATGGTGGTGGCGACGATGGACAATAGTGGTCGGTGTTGGCGGTGGTAGCAATCAGTGGTGGTGGTGGGACAATGGGGGTAGTGGCGACGACAACAATAGTGGCGGTGATGATGGCAATTGTGATGGTCGTGGGGGTAGTGGTGGGGCGGTGAGGGTGGAACAATGGTGATGAGGGTGGTAATAGTGGGAACGATGGTGGTGGGGCGGTGAAAGTGGTGATGGTGGAGGTGGTGGTGGTACAGTGGTGGGGGTAGTTATGGTGGTGGTAGTGGAGGTGGTTGTAGGGCAATTTCAAATACTATTTTTTTTTAAGTACTTATCAAAAATAAATTTTAAAAACACTTTTAAAAAGTCACTTCAAACACACTTTTAGGGGTCTATTTTTTCTATTAAATTTTGGGTGTTAATATTAACCATCGAATTAATTTTAAAATAAAATTTAAAGAGATCTCAACTACAAAAAGTATAAGTCATTTTGTTTATCTTTTGAATTTTGAATTGTATTGTACTTTATTATATAAATTTTTATTTTTTTTCTACATACCCAATGTGAGTATGAATATGAGTATAACATAGGTCTAAGATATTGACTAACTGTCAAAATCTTTCAAAGTATTTCGTAATAAGTAATGCTATTGGGACTTAATTTGTTGACCTAATTCACTATGACCTTTAGATTAATTGTGGACTTCATCAAACATTAGAACTTGGTATTTATCCAATGANATGGACAATAGTGGTCGGTGTTGGCGGTGGTAGCAATCAGTGGTGGTGGTGGGACAATGGGGGTAGTGGCGACGACAACAATAGTGGCGGTGATGATGGCAATTGTGATGGTCGTGGGGGTAGTGGTGGGGCGGTGAGGGTGGAACAATGGTGATGAGGGTGGTAATAGTGGGAACGATGGTGGTGGGGCGGTGAAAGTGGTGATGGTGGAGGTGGTGGTGGTACAGTGGTGGGGGTAGTTATGGTGGTGGTAGTGGAGGTGGTTGTAGGGCAATTTCAAATACTATTTTTTTTTAAGTACTTATCAAAAATAAATTTTAAAAACACTTTTAAAAAGTCACTTCAAACACACTTTTAGGGGTCTATTTTTTCTATTAAATTTTGGGTGTTAATATTAACCATCGAATTAATTTTAAAATAAAATTTAAAGAGATCTCAACTACAAAAAGTATAAGTCATTTTGTTTATCTTTTGAATTTTGAATTGTATTGTACTTTATTATATAAATTTTTATTTTTTTTCTACATACCCAATGTGAGTATGAATATGAGTATAACATAGGTCTAAGATATTGACTAACTGTCAAAATCTTTCAAAGTATTTCGTAATAAGTAATGCTATTGGGACTTAATTTGTTGACCTAATTCACTATGACCTTTAGATTAATTGTGGACTTCATCAAACATTAGAACTTGGTATTTATCCAATGATTCTAATAAAACTACATCATTAGGTCAATAAATAATATCAAATTTTTAAATTCAAATAACATTTTTCTTTCGTAATAAAATTCTCACTCCTAGCCAAGATGGTCGGCATTCAAATGGGACCATAATCTTTGTAGCGGTAATATATAAGTTGGCTCTTGGTAATTGTATGCGACACTTTAATGTAACTTGTGCACTTGTGTCAAGAATTTGTTGGTCAAAACCAATTCATTTACTTGCCAACATACTAAATAAACTGTACAAGGAATTTGTTCGAGAGAACTCCAAAATCAACAATATATACGAGGGAAACCCATTGTGTAAATGAAAAAGAGAACGTGATTTCTTTAAGAAATGCCAAAATAGTTGTTTATTGTAAGGGGTAGAAATCGCTACGGGATTTCAGCCTTCTACTCGAAGGATTTTAGCTGACTTGATGGCACTAAGTCTTAGTAGTCTTTACCTCTCTTCGCCAATATGACCCTTTCCTAAGACAATCCTACATCGGAAGATANACGGGATTTCAGCCTTCTACTCGAAGGATTTTAGCTGACTTGATGGCACTAAGTCTCAGTAGTCTTTACCTCTCTTCGCCAATATGATCCTTTCCTAAGACAATCCTACATCGGAAGATAGTTGTCTCTCCCCTGCCATATAAGTGAATATTTAATATGAAAGAGGTACCCACTAACCACTTGATCAAGTGAATTGTCTTAGAAAAGAGTTCTATTGACAAAGAGAGGTAAAGGCTATTGGAATTCGATGCCGTCAAGTCAGCCGGAATCTTTCGAGTAGAGTTCTATAGAAATCACGCGTTCGTATCTCATCCCTGCACCCTTTCCTAAGGCAATACAATAGTCTTTACCTCCATCTCACATCGGGTAACTCTGTAGCCTTTACCTCCATCTCNAATATTTAATATGAAAGAGGTACCCACTAACCACTTGATCAAGTGAATTGTCTTAGGAAAGAGTTCTATTGGCAAAGAGAGGTAAAGGCTATTGGAATTCGGTGCCGTCAAGTCAGCCGGAATCTTTCGAGTAGAGTTCTATAGAAATCACGCGTTCGGATCTCATCCNATTTTGAATTGTATTGTACTTTATTATATAAATTTTTATTTTTTTTCTACATACCCAATGTGAGTATGAATATGAGTATAACATAGGTCTAAGATATTGACTAACTGTCAAAATCTTTCAAATTATTTCGTAATAAGTAATGCTATTGGGACTTAATTTGTTGACATAATTCACTATGACCTTTAGATTAATTGTGGACTCCATCAAACATTAGAACTTGGTATTTATCCAATGATTCTAATAAAACTACATCATTAGGTCAATAAATAATATCAAATTTTTAAATTCAAATAACATTTTTCTTTCGTAATAAAATTCTCACTCCTAGCCAAGATGGTCGGCATTCAAATGGGACCATAATCTTTGTAGCGGTAATATATAAGTTGGCTCTTGGTAATTGTATGCGACACTTTAATGTAACTTGTGCACTTGTGTCAAGAATTTGTTGGTCAAAACCAATTCATTTACTTGCCAACATACTAAATAAACTGTACAAGGAATTTGTTCGAGAGAACTCCAAAATCAACAATATATACGAGGGAAACCCATTGTGTAAATGAAAAAGAGAACGTGATTTCTTTAAGAAATGCCAAAATAGTTGTTTATTGTAAGGGGTAGAAATCGCTACGGGATTTCAGCCTTCTACTCGAAGGATTTTAGCTGACTTGATGGCACTAAGTCTCAGTAGTCTTTACCTCTCTTCGCCAATATGATCCTTTCCTAAGACAATCCTACATCGGAAGAGAGTTGTCTCTCCCCTGCCATATAAGTGAATATTTAATATGAAAGAGGTACCCACTAACCACTTGATCAAGTGAATTGTCTTAGGAAAGAGTTCTATTGGCAAAGAGAGGTAAAGGCTATTGGAATTCGGTGCCGTCAAGTCAGCCGGAATCTTTCGAGTAGAGTTCTATAGAAATCACGCGTTCGGATCTCATCCCTGCACCCTTTCCTAAGGCAATACAATAGCCTTTACCTCCATCCCACATCGGGTAACTCTGTAGCCTTTACCTCCATCCCACAATCCCTGAACACCTGGCCTGCACCCTTTCCTAAGGCAATACAATAGCCTTTACCTCCATCCCACATCGGGTAACTCTGTATTGCCTTAGGAAATGATGCAGGCCAGTCAGAATTCTTGGTATTCAGGGATGAGTTTTAGGAAAGGGTGCAGGCCAGCCAAAATTCTTGGTGACCCATATGTTCTTCAAAGTGCATATGTATACTGGGGTCCAAGTTCAATCCATCCTCGGCTGTTCGATTTCCGATGTTTCCTTTTTCCTATCCTAAGAAAAGAGAATGTGGTTTCTTTTATGAAATGTCAAAATAGTTGTTTTTTGGGCAGTTATGGAGTACTGTCAATTTGACAAAACTATCACCATTCTGACTAATCTTTGATGCTCTATTGTGTGGTTCTTTCGACAGGAAATCTTGACATATACACCATGCTTGTTTGAAGCATCTCAGCCTAAGGAGGAGCCACTTGTGAACTAAATCTATCCTTTTGTAATTGACTCAATTAAGCTTTTATCTCTTCTACTCTCCTGATAGCTTCCTTCATGTCGATCCGTTTATCATGATCACTTTCAGTGCAAGCAGCCCCAATATGCAGGGTCTTCTCCATCTGTTCAATTGAATCTGTGGCGGCTGCTATCTCAGGATCAATCAATTCTGATTCTCTCTTCTCGGAAATCGCTGATCGTACCCATTGCACCACATCAGTCCCACCCTTTTGGTTGTTGAGATACTGAGATGGAAATTTCCCTGTCAGGAGTTCGAGAACAATGATTCCAAAACAGAAGACATCACTTTTCGGAGAAAGTTGCTGGTATAGTATGGCTTCTGGGGATTTAAAGGCAAACAATGATTGCACACTTTGGGTGTTGTTTATTAGTGGATGGAATGCATAGTCATTGAGAAGTGGCTCATAATTTGAGTCAAGGAGAACATTGCTAGACTTGAGATTTCCATGTGGTAGTTCATATGATGCAAACTCCGAATGAAGGAACCCCATTCCCCTGGCAACTCCCTGGATAATCTTCAGCCGCGTCTGCCAATTTAGCTCAGCATGAGAAATCCCACGATCACCTGAAAGATAACAATTATTGGACCATGGCGGGTCTAACAAATCACTTGTACCCAGTATCAAGCTAATGATCGTGAATAAAGTCAACAAATTACATGAATAAGTTAGATTGACGCATGAGCAAATTTGATAATATACCATACCATGCAAGATATACAACAAGCTGCCTTTAGGAACATAGGAAGACACCAAGAGCTTCTCTTCTTTCCTGTAATGGTATGCTAATGGTGTCAAAATATTCCTATGCTTTAGTCTCCCAAGCCGCCTCATCTCCGAATCAAACGTATCATTACTCAATTTATTCATCTCTCTCAACCTCTTCACCACCACAGACACCCCATTTGCCATCATGGCCTTGTATGCAGAACCCAACCCACCATTTCCAAGCACCTCCGCCGCGGCTTTCATTAAATCCGGCAATCCAAATATACCCTTTTCTTCGTTCATCACCACAAGATCACTGCCGCCGCTGGACTTAGCGTGGTGAAAGCCTCTCCGAGACGAGCGGGAGCGGGTTGAATCATTATTACCTTTCTGGCTAGCGCTCATGCTCCTTCTGTTGGTACTTGGTATGTGCACTTGAACAACCTCGTCAAGGTTTTCTTTTCCCAGCATGTTGAAGTTATCTTCTTTACGCTTGGTCTTGAAAGCTAGTGTTAACAACAAAACTGCAACCACTAGACCTAGTATAACCCACTTCGCATTTGAAGAGTTTTCCGATTCCTCGGGCTTGTTTTCAGATGGCGATAATAACTCTTTCTTATCACAATCCTGTCCTACCTTTTCCCCACACAGACCCGGATTTTCCTTGAATGAATCTGCACTGAATCTTGACAAACTTGAGGGGATTTCACCTTCCAATTTGTTGTGTGACAGATCGAATGAAGTTAAAGATGGTTGTTCCATTGATGGAATGGGTCCTGAGAATTCATTGTAATTAAGGTGCAATTCAATGAGATGGGGTATTTTTCCTATTGACTCTGGAATTTTCCCAGAAAACTTGTTTCCTGAAAGCCAAATCTTCTTCAAAGATCTCAAGTTGGAGAAGAAATTCGAAGGAATTTCCCCGGAAAACTGATTTCTTGATAGATAAATAGCCCTCAAAGAACCAAGATGACTAAAATCTGGCATTGGACCCGTAAAAGAGTTGTTTTCGAGACTAATAATCCTAATGCTTCCCATGTCATTTAACGAGTCGACGTCGAACTCTCCGGCGAGACCAAAATTGGCAAGATTGAGGTTTGTGATAACGCCATTGAAACAAATAACACCAGCCCATCCTTCGTTTCTGTCGCAAGGGTCAGTACCTTGTTTCCAAGAATCAAGAGCTGTGGCGTTGGTGAATGATTGTTTGAGTTCGAGAAGGGCCATGTCGTTGGGTATGGAATTGAGTACGGAGAGAGAAAGAGGAGAGAGAGACAGGGATATGAAGAAGAGGAGGAGGAGGCGAACAGCGGCCATGTTGGTTAGCCGGAAACCAGACACCTCCGGGTAGAACATTGCCGCTGTTCGGAGAGATTAGGATTCTCTGAATCTTTCGTAGGGAGGTGGTTTGTTCCGTTTTGTTTATTTTGGGTTTGGAATGGTGTGTCATGGTGGTGCTGTGAGTTGGGAAACATTGGTGATGGAGCTGGCAACTCCATATACCATGAGTCTAAGAATAGATACAGATTTTGGGGTTAGGGAGGAGAGAGAGGGGCACCCTTGCATTGACTCTGTCAGCGTCACAAGAGCCTTTACCGGCGTAAACATGGTAAATTTGAAGTGGCATAAAGGGCTTTTTCTAGGAATGATTTACAAATTATATATCAATTAAGTTCAAGAAATGCGGTTTTAGGATATGGGTCGTCATGATTTTGAGAAATGTTACTTTCACATTAATCTTAGACCTAGGACCTAAACATAAATGCTGAAATCCACGACATGACGATGTTGTATTTAACTGGTGAGAACATGTCCAAAAAAAACCAATGTAATTGACAGCATTAAAAATCTAAAGTCGTTGCTTATTTTGAGATAGCGAGTCAGCTTGTTCTGAGATGGCGAGGACAACCAATGTCTCCAAATGTGGGTGTCATGGCAACTATACTTGATGGTTGTGAGAGCCTCCTACCACATGTTTTTGTTTATTGATGGCATCTGCATGCCAATTGTAGTGAGCCTCATCCAGCCTTCTAGCCACAGCATCACTGTGATGTGAAGGCCTGCCAACAAGAGAAGAAACAACATTTTGATCACTCAATTCCATGGTATGTGGAAGCTGTTCCAGTTTTAAAAACTCTGCAATTCGACAAATTCACCATTACCTTTATGGTAGTACAGAAGAATAATATTGTTTGGATCCTTATTTTATAGTATCTAATTCATTGATCTATCATTCACATTGATTGAGATCAACACAGAGAGAAAGTACGAACCTTTGATATCTCTTTTACTACTGTACATTTATATCTAGTATAGTAGTTGTAATTTGCACGAAGATAAGGGTGGGCGTACCGAAAATATGTTGCAGTGGCCAGGATCAGCAATGTGAGCCATCAAGTTCTCAACGGGCCCTTGTCCAGTATAAACTGCTTGGAAACAAAAGCCAACAAAAGCTAGCATAGCAAGCCGCCCATTCTTGATCTCCTTGGTCCTCAACACCATCACAGGTTCTGGGGACCCTCTTCCCCACATCAGGGGATCAAACCATATGCCACCAGGATAACCAACATCAGGCTTTGGTTTTTGCTTATGTGGTAATGAAGGTTCAACGTCGACGCACCCGGGGTTGATCATATCAGCCCATCTCCGACCCTCGACCCAACCCATCAGGGCTAATTGCACCACAAATAAGGTTGTTGGGTCTGCAAAGTATTGTCTGGCACCAGCATCATACCAAGAGAAGTTGTCAATGAAGCCTAGGCTTTCAAGCCATTCTGGAATTAGAATTCCCGCAACCGCAAGCATTGCCCATCTGCCATGGATTAGCTCAGCTTGTGCAAACCATTTCAGTGATTCTGGATCAGACCCTGCAATAATAATAATCATTCTTGTTTAAATAGAGATGTGAACTTCCTCAATTCTGGATAAGAATCGAATAGATTACCTAATCCCAGCGGATCGAAGCCAAAATCTCCTGGAAGACTACAAAAAAGAGGTTTTTTTGTAAGAAAATCATGTCAATATTATTAAGCAATTTGAAATATAAATTCAAGTAACATTACTCGATAAGAGTGTCACATGGACGANCCAAAATCTCCTGGAAGACTACAAAAAAGAGGTTTTTTTGTAAGAAAATCATGTCATTATTATTAAGCAATTTGAAATATAAATTCAAGTAACATTACTCGATAAGAGTGTCACATGGACAAGTTGAGTTGACTGTGGACAGACCAATAAAGGATTAAATAATCTAACTCTAACTCTAACTCATTTTTAACACCTTTAGTTTTAACGAGTTGAGTCATAATTCCAAATCCATCCAACCATCCATACTGATTGGTGTGCAAATTTTGGAAAATGTAGCAGGAACAAGTGTATGAGATTAGTGGATTCGTGTTATGTGGAATTCATGGTTCCACATTGGATTTTATTGATTCCAGCAAGTTACCTGCCATCAAGCCACTCAGGAGGTGAACTGCCAGGGAACCACAGTGGTCTATCCGGCGGAAGCGGTTCACAAATACTTGATACCCCTTTTGTTGCATTCAAACGAGTTTTCCCCAGTAAGCATGTAGGTAATTTTCCTGGCTGGGATTTTCTTGCTATTTCCCTTTCACCAAACAAAAACACTTGAAATCAACAGCAATCGAAATCAGAACTACATTGAAATTTGAAAGATTTCGTTGAATTGTTTATTTAAAATTTTTGCGAAAAGCTAATCGTAGGTTGGGCCAACAGAAATATAATGAAGGTATATCTTTTTTATCATGTTGAATTGATCTTTTGAAGAAGAATTATGCCAAAAATTGTAATACATTTTTGTGAAAATAAAACTTACATGGAAGAAAGGAAATTAAAGGCTTTCATAAAAATTCTCGTAGAATCAAGAATGAAGTAGCTATGCAACAAAAAAAATGGGGTTGTATGCAAACTACTAAAGCAAGAACAGTGGAAGCTGAGAGTGGCTCTTGAGACCTGGTTGGAAGGCTTGAAAGCGCAGTGGAAGCAATGGCTAGCGCCATGGATGACAGGGTTGTACTTGTTGCAGAGTTTAACAAGTCTAGCAATTTGTGAGGTTGGCTGGCTCTGCCATGTGGCTTATCATCCACGCAGGAAGTGGATGACAAAAACGATTGAACGATTGGGCAAAAAGAAATTCAATTGGGCTTTTGTTGTATCTGAAGGTTAAGTTCTAGGACCGCCCTTGAAAGATTGTACCCATTTGTTAGTGGGCTCTTGTTCAATGAAGCCTAGACCTATACAAACTACATTCCCTCTACCAAAATTTTGAATAAATATTAGCAAGACACCATGAGTTTTACGCGTAAATAATTTTTTTATACATAAATTAATAAAATATATTAGATATACATATATCTAAATTAAATATTGTCTTAAATTTTCAAACTTAATTTTTTATTACTCATATTTTATTATAGGATTATAAAAACTTTATATGTACCGAAAACTCTATATTCTAACTATAAGAAAAAAGATTAAAAAAAATCTCNCTTAATTTTTTATTACTCATATTTTATTATAGGATTATAAAAACTTTATATGTACCCAAAACTCTATATTCTAACTATAAGAAAAAAGATTAAAAAAAATCGCTAAATTTTTTATTTATTTTTTTTTAGAATTTTATAATTGAGATTGATTTTTAGTGATGTTTAAGAAACTAAATTTTTTGAAATTCGTTTTATTATATTCTACTTATAATTTCTTGAATAATAAAAATAATTGTCAATATACTAATTATATTAAAACTTATAAATTGGTTATGTGAATTAGAATAAGATTTAATATACTGCTATAAAAAATCAAAAAATTTAAAGTTTTATTCAAAAATTTTAAAAACAATTCAAATTCTGCAATATTGAAATTCTAAAAAATTCAAATTTTATTTAAAAATACACTACAATATCTATTTTCACATAAAATCTTAATATAACTTAAAAATTTTATTGTGACGAATAATTATATTGATGTAACTTAATTTGATTTTAAAAAATTATATATACAATTATTTTTTATATTATAAATGAAATAGTTAAACTTTTTGATGAAAAATAAATTATACATATGTAAGCATAATGTAATCTTTACATATGAAATGAGTAATATTAGATTGATGGAATTTTGAAAGTTTTTTGAACACTTTAGTGAAAATATAATGATGCATATTTTTTTAAAGGAAACATAGATAATCAAAAAGTTTTATAAAAATTAATATATATACATAGAGAATAGATAATTAAAAAAGATATTAGAGATAATTTGCATATTTAAATACATAAGGATATAATGATAATTTATATATTTAATTGTGAAATGATAAACTGATTTTTACAATTATTGATAAGAATAAAATAAAGATTCAAAAAATTTTCATGTTAAGGTACTTTTATTAGCAGTATAGATAAAATTATTAAACAACCATCTACTCAACCCTTATGAGTGGCACAGTGGTTAAGTTTGTCTTCTTGCAAGTAAAGGTCTTAGATTAAATACTTCACACACCTCCTAAGCGTGTGCTATCTTTGTTCCTTAGGAAATATGTTTTTTAAATTAGCTCGAATTACGGTGATTGACTCAGAGTTCGAGGGTTTAGTCAGTCCAAACTTGAACACTTTTATTTAGGGTGGTGGTAGCACGATAAGAGCTCCTTAATAATTAGGGTAGCGGTGAGATTTGAACACAAGACCTCTTACTCCGATAAATTGTTAAACAATCATTTACTCCAAAAATTTAAACTATTAGAGATGATGTAATTTCAGTATTTATACATCAATAATATTTAGTTCAACAATGACACTATGTTATTATGGTCATGTGGTGTCACCATCTAATAAAAAATAATCAAATAATCAATGTAAACCCTATCTATATAATAAAGTACAATATAATTCAAATTTTAAAAGATAAATAAAATAATTTTTGCTTTTTGCGCTTAAGATTTCTTTAAAGTTAATCTGATGGTTAATATTAACACCCCNTAAATAAAATAATTTTTGCTTTTTGCGCTTAAGATTTCTTTAAAGTTAATCTGATGATTAATATTAACATCTCAAATTTAATAGAAAAAATAGACTCATAAAAATGTGTTTAAGGTAACTTTTTAAAAGTACTTCTAGAATTTATAATTTTTTATAAATACTTTAAAAAAAATAATATTTAGAACTACCCCTCCACCACCCCACCACCACTATCACCACCACCAATAACACTACCGTCATCACACCACCACCATAATTTCAACAACCACCACCACTACCATTCTTGCCACAAAACCCCAACCATCACCACTACCATCATTCCTATCGCCCCGCCATTATCATCATCACCGCTACCACCACCTCTTCTGCAACAACCATCACCTCCATTGTTGCCGCCACCACCACCACCCCATATCTACCCCACCACCACCACTGTCGCCTATCATCGTTACCATCGCTCGCCTCAATTATAACCAGTGCTTAAATTCCTTTCTCTCTCATCTATCTTTGTAATTTAATTTTTTGTGTAAATACAAATATATTTATTATTGATCATTTTTTTTATTACTTCATACATTCAAGTACAAGAAATAACTAGTTATTCTACATTGGGTGGTTGTCATATTACATAGAAGGATAGTTATTAGTTTGGGTAAATTTCACTAACACCATCTAGATTTAAGTCATATTTAACTGACACCTTCTCTAANTCATATTACATAGAAGGATAGTTATTAGTTTGGGTAAATTTCACTAACACCATCTAGATTTAAGTAATATTTAACTGACACCTTCTCTAATTTTTTGAAATATCACTGCACATCTGTAGTTTTTTTTTTTTAATAATTAAAAAAAAAAAGCGTCCAGAGACCACCTTGATAAACCCTCACTTGTGAGAGACCCCTAACTGTGTCTATTACACCTCTCAGGAACAAACCTNAATTTTTTGAAATATCACTGCACATCTGTAGTTTTTTTTTTTTAATAATTAAAAAAGAAAAGCGTCCAGAGACCACCTTGATAAACCCTCACTTGTGAGAGACCCCTAACTGTGTCTATTACACCTCTCAGGAACAAACATAATTAGGCTAGTATAACGGTCAACCACTGAACCCAAATGTGAACTCCAAAACTCAAATTTTTCAACCTCAAAGTGAGAAGTTCAATTGGTACCCCACTAGACCACCCTACTCAGTGCCCTATAGTTTATATATACATTTCACAAACTATCCTTGTCGTTACTAATAAGCAAAAAAGGTGTGATATGAATTTATCCTTAGCCATATAAAACAAGATTAAAACAGTAGAAAACATCCTTATAGCATTAATTTGACTAAATTAAACAAAATATTTCCTATGAAAAAAATGGATTAAAAAAAATGTTAATTTGTTGTTTATTATAAAAAATAATATTAATTTGATAAAACTAAATATTAAATTCACAAAATTGAATGTTAATTTTATAAAATTGAACGACCATTTAGTATATTATTTTGATGAAATTAAATGTTAATTTTTAAAATTCAATCCAAAAATGATGTCAATTTGATAAATTTGATGTTAAACTGATGAAATTAAATGTTGATTTGGGGTTAATTTGATGAAATTAAATATTAATTTGGTGTTAATTTTATAAAATTGAATATCTATTTGATGAGATTGAATATAAGTTTGCTAAAATAAAATGATATTTTATAAAATTTAAGAATAATTTCACATTAATTTGTAAAATCTTGTATTAGTTTGATGAAATTTAATGTTAATTTGATAAAATTGGTAGTTAATTTGTTGTTAATTAGATCAAATTGAATATTAATTTGGTAGTTAATTAAATGAAGTTTAATGTCATTTTAATGAAATTAAATTTAATTTGGTGAAAATTTTATGAAATTAAATATCAATTTGGCATTAGTTTAATAAAACTAAATGTTAATTGGATGAATTGAATTATAATTTGATGAATGTGGATGTTAATTTGACAAAATTTAATGTTAATTTGTTGCTAATTTGATGAAATTTAATATTAATTTGGTGTTAATTTGATAAAATTAAATAATAATTGGATAAAATTGAATTTTAATCAAAAAGAATTAAAGGTCAATTTAAAATTAATTTGATAAAAGTTATAGATTAATTTTGTACTAATTTGAGTAAGTATAATTAAGTAAAATAAGAGTTCTAGCAAGGGTAGTTAAGAAAAACCCCCTTCCATAGGTTTGTTATTTGAAAAAAACTGATGGGTGTTTGCAATGATATTTCAAAATTCATAGGGGGTGTTAGTAAAATATGATTTAAATCCAAGGCATGTCAATAAAATTTATCCTTATTAATTTTGGTGGGATTCGTTTGATAACTTATCATTTTCTTATTGATCTTTGATATCATATGATTATTGATAAGACACAAAATGTGTTTATGTACCACCTATCAAGTATTAAATACGAAAACAAATAAGAAGTGACAATGCAATTTAAGTTATTCGATCAAGGTGATCTACTCTACCATAAAAGGCTTTAATAGCCTAAGTATTTTATTACTCAAAGGATGTGGAGTGCTCAGATATGATAGATGCCCCTTGTGTAGGTGGAGTTTACAATTTGTAGACAACCCCTAACAAATTGATGTGTCATCCTTGTAACAAGTGAGGTAATTCAGTGGAAGTGACGTCATTCTCGTAATAGGCGAGACAGTTTCGTAGAAGTGGTGACGTGCGTGTCCTTCAGAGATATCCTTGCGCGTCAATTGTAGATTAAGTCTCCCAAAATAGTGCGGCTCACCTTACACTCTCAAGATAGTGCGATTAACCTGACATAACTTCCTCTATCTTGTGGAGGCTTAATCTATATATTTGAGGTGGACCGGATTTATAATTTTAGACTTGGTCCGCATCGGGTGCATCAATGGTACTATTATATTACATTACTTTGAATATTACGAAGAAGTAGTCTGAATCTATTATTCCCTCCGTTT